ATTAAAGCCCTCCGCAATATCTTTGGTATTTGTCAAACTATTTTCACCTAATTTTAACTCATTTACTACTGTTGGTTTGCTTTGCCTACCTAGTATATCGTTTATAGTTTTCCAAGCCTCTTTAGGGTTGCATTTTTTTATCAGAAATTTTAGTGGAGTAATAATTTTTTTTAGCATTTCTTAGCTGAATATTAACTTTGCTTCTCGTTGTTTTGTAATTTAACCAGTCTATCTTTAGGTTTGTAATAATGGCCTTTCTTTTTAATCTGTCCCTTGTGATTATAAGTTGCTTTATAGCACTTGTAATCCAAGGAACTTTTTTTGTTCTAATCTTTTTATGTTGAAGTGGTGCATGGTTATCCAAGACCTCTAAAAATAATTTCTTCCAAATTTCCCACATAGCGTTGGGCTTAAACTACTGTAAGCCAAATTGTTAAAGGGCTTAAACTAAGCCAAATTGTCTGAATTTTTTGTACAGTAATTAAAAACCTAACAAAATTTGAGTTTGAGATATTTTTTTTTATTATTCTACATTATAAGTACCCAAAGAAGCTATATATACAAAAAACCGGATACAAATAGGTGTTTTGCGAAATTGAGAGCAATTTCAAATCTGTTCAGTTTTTTTTTATACACCCTGTATATATAAATTTCCACTCGATAATTTCCATCTACAAGACCCTTCAACTAAATATTGAATCAAGTGAGATGCCAATAAAATCTCAATATTTACTACATGTACTCCCCATATTTACCTGTAAAATAAGAAAGCGGTTATGATCGAGATCAATGCCACAACTTCTCAAAAGTGAAGCAACTTCCTTGAAAGGTGTCTTTCTACCATTAACATAATAATCAGAGCTATTGTCTTTACGTGCAGTTCTTGATACAATAAATTCACTGTCAGGTACTACTTCATATTCATTACCAGGCTAGGAAAAAGACAAACATACACAATAAGGACTAAAAATACCAACATTAGGGCATCAAATTTCAAATCCTCAGCCGTCAGCACTATCTAATGGGATACTATATAGTAACTTTACCTTTAATTAAATCTGGTTTCATATAAAGTTTTCACATGAGACAGAAACCATAGCAATCAAACATTAGTGCACAACGTACTGCAGTGGTTACTTTCAGATTAGCATCAATTATCTGCCAGCAAGGACAGTGCATGGGGAAAGTATCATTTAAAAACTCCTAATTCATTCCAGTTAGCCGATTAAGCCTTAGTCCATTTCAATATAGGTTGAGTAGTAAACTACAATCCTTACACACATCTAATACTGAACACCTGTACACTCAAATATGACAATGCTTACCATATCTATTATTTTCTGAAAATATACTGACACAGTACAGCTTTGTACATTACGATGATTACCGGAGTTGTGAATTAAATTTGATAACTTCTTTGACCGAATCTTATTTGACCGATAACCAAACACAAATAACATAGCATCTATGACATTTGATTTCCCACTTCCATTTGGACCAACAATTGAAGAAAAATTCTATAAAGTAAAATATTAAATATAAAAAAGTGAATATTGGGAGTTAAAGCACCTTGCATTCTGAGGTGCGATATAAAACTACATATTGGGAACTCACGTCATTAAGTTGCAATGTGCCCTACTTTATTATCTATCTCTGTCAAACACCAGACAACTTTCTTTGTCAAGGGGAGATTGTTGCAAATTGAAGATAGAATTTAATTAGTCAACACAAAACAATTGACATGTTGTCTTGATCAATATGTTTATGCACAAGGGAATGCATTTCTCTCAGCCCAACTATGGCATCGGTAACAATGGGTTCGTATCCCAATCCATTACATGAGAATGATTTTCCTCTCCTGTCGCAGTATGTCCGACGATATCTGGCGATTCCGGCGAGCAATGCTCCAACTAAACGACTATTTAGCAAAGCGGGACAGATAGTTACGGCAAAGCGAGTATACCTCAAGCCAAGTCAGGCAAACATGTTAGTGTTTCTCACAGAAAATTTATAAACATTATAATGATTAAGTTCTTTGTACGTTTGCATGGCGATAAAACATACAATAGTTTTGTTTGTGGAAACACCACGTAAATTTATTACTGCAAAGCTTTCGATCCGTAAGCCCGGATCTTCATCAGTGCTAATAAAATCTTGGCTCTTTTAAACACTTCAACTTATAAAGAGCCTAATTAAAAGAGACCCTACAGTTAATATTGAACGTAAAATATGTTCCAAACTATCTGGTTGTAAGGCCCCATTGAAAAACTCCTTGGAGATATGGGCTCCCTGCTTAAATATAATTAAAAAAAATTTTAAAAAAAGGCAGGTATATTGTCTCAAACACTTCATAATTGTTTGAGACCTTCAGCTACTGTTTGTCCAAAATTTTATGGTTTACCTAAGATACATAAACCAAATGTCCCATGCACTTAGACCTATTGTAGCGTCCATAGGTAAATATCTCGCTGAGATATTGAAACCAGTTGTTGGAAAAACAGAACATCATGTAGTTAATTCTAAAGAATTTGTAACAAAAATGGAACAAATTAGATTGGGTAAAAATGACATTCTGGTAAGTTTTGACGTAGTTAGCTTGTTCACTAATGTTCCAGTTGAAGAAGCTTGTAATATCGCGAAAGAAAGACTTCATTCAGATATTACATCTCAAAGAACTAATCTTTCTCCTGAAAATGTTCATGATTTGTTGAAAACATAATCGACCACGACATGTTTGGCGGGAGAAATTCTGTGAACAATGGCGGGAGAAATTCTATGAACAAACAAACGGCGCTCCAATGGGAAGTCCATTGGCATTGTCGCTTGTTATGACTAATTTGTTCATGGAGGAATAGGCCATAGCTACTGCAACGTTGAAACCTGGTTTCGGCATACGTGGATGATACATTGAGTAGCTGGTCTCATGGACTAGATAATTTACAAAAGTTTCTATAGACCTACAAAAGTTTCTAGATAATTTACAAAAGTTTTCTAGCACCCTTCGATCTATAAAGTTTACTTTTGAAGTACAGAAAGATGATAAAACTATACCATTTTTAGATGTTCTGTTCACTATACATGATGATGGGTCGCTAGGACATAAAGTTTATAGGAAACCAACACACACAGGTATCTGCATTATAATTCATTTCATCATCCTAGTATTAAAAGCTTCGTGTGTAAGACACTCATCAACCGAGCGAAAACAATTTATGAGGTAAGTAATATTGACGATGAATTAGAACATTTAAGAAATGTTTTAAAAATGAATGGTTATCCCTGGCATTTCATAGATAATGCTATGAAAACACCACAAAGTATACAGCAGAAGATTGAATATCAGTCCTCTGTTTGTTTACCATACATTGGTTCGGCTTCACACAAAATCGACAGGATTTTGAAGAATGAAGCAGGTATAAAGGTATACCATTCTAGCGAAAACAAATTGTTTCGAGCTCTTTGCACACATAAGGACAACGTGAATGAATCTCAGAAACCTGGTGTGTACTGCATTCCTTGTGAATGTGGTCTAGTTTACATTGGTGAAACTGGTCGAAATCTCTCAGTACGTCTTAAGGAACATGAGACGAATTGCAAGAAATATTAACCCTCACCCTAACCTAACCCTAACTTATTTTAATTATTTTAAAAATTGATATAAAAACGGAAACCTTATTTTGAAGTAAACTATCTAGCGATTGCCGTCCATTCATGGTTGAATTCGCGAATCACCATTTTGAATAGTGTTTCAACATTGAAACAACTGTCCAGATTTCATTGAAAAGAATTTTTTTGAAGTCAAGAAGATTGTAAGAAGGTCGATAGTTAACAAAGTCGAAATACATTTTTGTTGCTTGCCGTCATGAACTAAAATACTCATAAATAATTCATGCATTTCTTGTGATATTATGTTAAAATATTTATTAATTAAAACCACCAAAACTCCTGATGATGATGCAGGCAATGGTCTTGATGATGATACAGCCAATGATGATAATAATGACATTGTAGTTCCCGTAGTTTGCATTTGAGTGCATACTGATAGCATTAAATATCAGTGAAGTTGACACTAATTAGACTGTAATTTTTATCAGTTATAGACCTGAAACGAGGGGTATTCCACAAAAAATTACCCTGAGGGATGAAATATTCCGAGGGCGAAGCCCGAGGAATATTTCATCCCGCACGGTAATTTTTTGTGGAATACCCCGAGTGAAAGGTCTATAAATGGTATATTATACCGAACCTTTCAAAAATAAGTAGAAAACAAATACCATTCAATTAACTTTTAATTTCAAAACACAACTTTTGATAACTTTACATTTAAAAAAGTCGAATTTCCCGCTCAAGCGTGGTATTCAAAGTCGAATACCATGGCCCCGGGTAAAACACCCAGGGTTCAAATTGCCTAGGTCATAGTATTCGCTGAAAAATACCATGGTCATGTGGTACAAATTTAGTTCTCTGATTGGACAAGCTCATTGCGAGGTATAATATTATATTATATAGCATAGCAATCTTGCATGATATTTCCTTTATACTATCAATTCGTAATATTGTCTTAGTAATTAGTTTGTGTACGAGGCAATAAGATCTGGTATTACTAGTGGACGGGTATTCGGCAATACTTCTATTTGTGGAAAGTTTGTAGTTTCACTATGGGTCTATGGCATCGCGAAGCAAATCGTTCACCTTTCTACACATGGTCGTAGACGAACAACATGGAGTGATGGATATATGGTGCAAGAGTGGGTTACGCAGGGTATGAAGAGATCCATCGATAACGTGCAGAGGCCTGGACAAATTTGCATCGCCGCATTTACACTTGTGAAATATGATACATGTGAGGGTAATATCCTTCGATTTATATTGTTTGATTTCGCATTCCAAATCTGATAAACATTGATAATTCTCTTTTCGCGTATGTCCACGCGTAATTCTCGCAAAAAAACGCATTAATTGTGTCGGCAGCATCGATGATCACGGCAGCCAATCAAATGACGATTTCGATTTGATTTCCCCAGAGTCATGCCACTACCTAACCCGCGAACAGGCATACTCTGGGAACGAGATTGCGGTTCGAGTATTTCGAAGCGCGAAAATATCAAACTTTGGAGGGATTTTTCTCCCAATTGTGCAGCTGTTTCGCTTGGGGAGCAACGGATTCTGATAAAGTAAGTTTTTATCTATTTATTCATGTGAAAATTACGTAGCTACACGAGGGGTGCAATGGAATTGCATCTTTTGGATGCTCATCCTACGGCCTAAAGGCGCTCCGCCTGCTCCGCTCGTTCCAGAACCCCTATTCTCTGTACTACTAGTTTGTACTACTATTGCAATGCAATGCAATGCAATGCAATGCAAACTCAATTAACACTCAAACGTGTTCTGTAACTTAATTTCACAATCCACAACATCTCTTTAAATATAATATAATGTACTAATGTAATATTATAAATGTAATATTAAATGTAATGTAATATTATACAGCAAGACCTCGGTTGGATATTTTCCCGTACTGCCCTCACTCTCGGTCAGTAAGTTACTAGTATTAGGGAAGCCTCACACATCGATTTTTTCCACGAGAAACGTCATATGTTCGTTTGGGGGTGGGGGGGGGGGTTGGCAGCTGTGATGTTTCTCTGTAAACATCATGGAAAAATTCGATAGTTTTTATCTTTGCAGAATATAAAAAAGAAAACAATTTGATACAAACAGCAGTCTATATATTCGTAATACCATAGCTGTTCTGTACCTATACATTTATATTATTACGCCTTCCTTGCGTTGAAAACACTCAAATTTCAAGAAAAACGTGCTAAAATTATCAATATTTCATGCAAAAAAAGTTCTTTTGAGAAACGTTGGAAATTTTGAAGTTCATATATATATATATATATATATATATATTAATAAAAAAGAGTATGTCAGCAGAAGATGACATGTTCCTCGCGGAAGCATCATCAATAGCCGACCGAAAAAAATAGTAGAAAATTAC